AAAGTACTGCAAATGAAAAAGCTTTTAGATGATACCAATAACGCACATGACCAAAAATTGACGAGCGCCCGATTCTTCAGTTTTCAACGACTCATGTGAAACGTACTGACAAAATGAGTCACTTCTTTGATTCGAGCCCTATGGACATAGATACACCACGCTCATAAGTTTTTAAAAAACCTCAAATATCTCGACTTCTATTCAAGATAGACGTGTATTTCTTTTCTTGAAAGTACTGCAAATGAAAAAGCTTTTAGATGATACGAATAACGCCACATGACCAAAAATTGACGAGCGCCCGATTCTTCCGCGCCGTGACACATATCATGTCTGAGCCCAGTTGTATAACTGGTCGCTTTTAAAGACAAGACAATGTCAAGCGAGCTTACCCAGATTTCGGGGGTTCATGTTTCCTGAAATCTTGACCTACTCCGAAAGTAGGCATTGCCTTACCTATAGGAGAAAAATGTTGTTTTGAGAAAATCGGAGGTAAAGTTTTTACCCTTGTTCTGTTTATTTAAAAGACAAGGAGAGTTTTCTCTATAACCAAACAAATATAAACACCAATGAAACCAAACTTCCCCTATAGGTAGGGCAATGTCCACTTTTGGTGTCGGTCCCCGAAATCTGGGTTAGCCCGCTTGTCCTCAAAAGCGACCAGTTATCCCCTTCACTTCTCTGTCGTTTGTTCTTCCCACCACTTATCGGTGTTGTTTGTTTTTAAAAGTTATTTTTAGTAAGGTTTTACGGCGCTCACAACTGCCTAAGGTCTTGAGCACCAACGGGTGAATGTCAGTCAACAGAGAAGTCCAAACAGGGAATCGGGTTTACTCTGCTCACCTCTCTAGCCTCAACAGCACAAAGTCTGCTTCGACTATCAAGGCACCCCGGAAATAGCAGTTCACAATAGTGACAAACATACAAAAGAAGTAGAGGAAATATTACGATAGGAAGGATGAGGAAAGAGTAAGCAGCCGTTCCCCCTATGTTGTTCCGGCACAGTATGAGCATGACATTGATAAATCAGCCCATTTACTATAATACTACTGTGCAAAAGAACATATTATTAACCCCCCCCCCTTTTGGGAATGGCCTAAAGACAACTTCAGTCAGTAGCACTGCCCTTGGGGGGGGGGGGTGTTGTTTGTTGTTCCTCTCGGTGGGTGGTTGATGGGTGCTCTGGTGTGGTTTGCTTGTTCTTTCCTATCAAACATCTATCGTCTTTATCTCCCCTCCTTCAGTTTTTTTTTTCGTTACTCTCTTGTAACACCTCTAATCTTCGTCACTTACATGACCTTATTCCCCTTATTGTGTTGCAAGTGCCGTAAAACACTTACTAAAACGAAACTATTCCTCTCAGGTGTTTGACAAGTCCGGCTGTGGCTATATCACGCCGTCCGATTTGAGGGCGGTGCTTCAGTGCATGGGGGAGGAGCTGACGGAAGAAGAAAGTGAGTGATTGACAGCTTGATGTTTGTGTTGCTTGTTGCTTTTTATGGGGCGCCACTTGAACATTTGTGAGCCGTGCTGACAAAATGAGTTACTTCTCGCAATCCACAAATGGAGATATTGGCAAAAAATTCAACACTATAGGGTCAAATTGGTAGATTTTCTATTGATGCCATATTCTTTAAGTGTAATATGCCTGTTATTATTTCATACTTATGTTTTTTTTAAACTTATGAGCGTGATGTATCTATTTCCATGTGGCTTGAATCAAAGAAGTAACTCATTTTGTCAGCACGTTTCACATTTATGTAAAAAGTAAAGTAAAGTAAAGTTGTTCCCGCGTCTGATCAAGACATTGGGGATTGCCTGAGCTCCTTTACTGGATCATGACACTCTATAATTGACACTCAAAAAGTACACATATGTCTCTCACTACGCTCAGTTTAAGAAAAGCAATCTGAAGCAGCCATTGTTGTGTATAAGAACAAAGATTCCCCACAGATCGTGTATACAAGATAGTTCACTCCTCTCTTTGAGCCAATTAAAAAAAGTGTCCTCAAAATTCGGTGGCGCCCTCTTCGAAAAAGTGCGGACTTTGCGATCAGAGTTATTCTACTTGTGTGAAAAACAATGAAAGTGAAACTAACAAACTGTGCTATTCCTATTCTTCTTCTGGAGAAACGAAAGAGAGCTTCAAAACAAAGACTGCAGCACCATCTGAACCAATGTGCGGACTTCCGCGGATACTTTTTTGGCCGAGTAAACTATCTTGCTATGAACGATCTTTGGATGCCCCTAGCTAGCCTTGAAGATATCGAATATCCTGGAAACATTTCTCCTAGCTCGCGTACTATATTTTTCATACATTCAACTCCAACTTCAACAATTGCCATCGTTACCTATTTGTTCTTCTCTTGCGGATGCGTGCGGATTTCTCAGTTGACATTTCCCCAACAATAATTGTGCAATAATTATGACGCATTATGACGTCACGCGACAATCTAGGGAATAATGGGATTCCGCTCAGTCATGGAGAGGTTTCCATGGCAACAGCAAAGTTTAAACTAGCGTCTAGCGCTGTTTATTTCGTGACAGCACGTACTGCGCAGTCTCACAAAGGTTTTCTGAAATAGGGGTCAAATAAACGGTGGCGGAATTAAAACTGTGCAGTTTTGAAAAGTACACAGAACCTTTTCCCAAGTACACGTTCTAATTGGTCGCTTATAAGCACTAGGGGGCTATCCCGAAAAATGCTGTTTTGAAAAAATCGAAGGTAAAGTTTTCGTCCCTTGTTGTTTCTTTAAAATACAATGAGAGTTTTCTCTATAACTAAATAAATGCACACCGATGAAACTTAACGTCTGCTATAGATAGGGCAGTGCCCACTTCTGGTGTAGATCAAGATTTTTGGAAACCCCCGAAATCTGGGTTAACCCGCCTGTCCTGAAAAGCGACCAATTCATTAGAGGTGCATGTGTTTTGGTGATAATAAGAAAAGTATTGGGATTGGAGGTGATACGAGGATTAAAAGACAAACAAATTGCTGGGTTCTTCGATAGATAGATAGATAGATAGATAGATAGATAGATAGATAGATAGATAGATAGAT